CCAACAAAAATTCACAATTTAATAATTGATTTTTTACCAAGAAAGTTATAATCTCTAAATGACAGCAAAGCGAAGGAACTTGAGAGCAGTCTCTTACATCGTGATATATATATTATGAAGCTGAATCCCCCATTATCAAACTGATAACAGTCTCAGTTAATCATGTTTTTTATTTATGTTATTATGGTTAATTTCTCTCCTGCGTATATTTTGTACTTAAACAATATAGAGATCGTATACAGATACCCCACCAACTATGGGTCACCCGCATAACTTCTAAACGGTTCGCAATTTCGAAATGCAATTTTCGCTCAACAATGCGGAATAATGGGGCAAGTATGCGGTAGAGATACAATTTTAAATATTTTTAGTTTTCGAAAATTTTCATTACCTTTGATTTTTAATAGTTATGCATCAGGGGCGTCATAAGAGATCTAATGATCCAGCGGCGTCGAAATGCTTGAGGGTTCTTGGCCAGAGGGCTTTTTGTGTCCCGAGGTCATTAGAACCAATTAACGCCCGTGGTACATACATAATTTTCCTTTTTATTTATTTTTATTTATTCCGATTTACTTTTTTTTTAATTAACTTGATGTTAATTTGGCTCCCTTTGTCATTTCATTTTTTCGTCCCATAATTCTCTCTCATAATTGTTACCGTAAGGAATAGTAGCATAATTCAACTGTTTTCTCATTTCCCTCATAACCACGCTTCTCTCGCTCCAGGTGAGGTATGCGGCATACATCGAACTCCGTATCGAATAACAAGCTATAACGTATTAGTACAAAATAAATAGAAATAAATATTTTTCTCACTAGCAATTGATAGATCATAAAAAGAGGAATACAGTGATGTTCCGATGTTTTGATAGTAATTTGATTATTAAAGTATTCTTTCTAATGTGTGATTTTAAATTAAACGGAAAATATTTCCTGTAGCACTCCTTCCAACTGTCGCCTTTGGAGAAGGTGGCCTTCGCGGCGTCGAGTGTTACAGGGAGAGGGAGACTGAAAGGGTGGCAATGAGGAATAGAGGCTTAACATCAGCAATCCGTAGTCGTTTTACGACGGACACAGAACAAACTTCAATTATAACGATTAGAATGAAAGGTGTTTTCCTATTATTCACCACAATTGAATTTTTCTGTTGCAGATTGAGATTCAAAACACCAATTCATTCCGTCACAAAATATTGATGTTTCATTCTGACTGTTTTCTGTGGTTTCCCCTGCACCCACCTCCACTATACGACTGCTAGATATCGCAAGGCATCGGATATGCATCGATTGAAATAATGAGTTCTGTCGTACGATCAGCTCGACGCGATTATCCATTCGTGTACTTCGTGACAACTTCATTTTTGGTATTGAATCCCCGATTGGATAACCGCGTCCCAATTGCTCGTATGTGAGAAGTGTACGTTTGGGCCCCGGCCGAGTAGGGAAGGATATGCGCCTCTCGGCCGGCCATTTCCTTTCGAGTTGAGCCTCTGCAGCGTTTCCAGCGTGTCCAGCGTTTATTCTTTGCGCGAGAAGAACACGTCCTAATAAGTGGCAGGATGTTGTTGATTCCGCCATCGGTTCACATCAGCCCCACTAAGAATTGAGAGGCAATTAGGGGACCAACGTTTTTGTCTCCAATGTTTTATGAGAGTAATTATCACATAATATTACTAGCTATATGCAGGGGCGGTTCCAGCCAAGCATTTGGGGGTAGGACATCGTATATTTTTATTAAATAATATACATATTTGTTATTATATTGTATATTGTTTGTGTAGCGTGTATATGGTACTATTCAATATTGTGTTAATAATTACATACTTCTTACATAAATAAATATTTAAATAAATTTTGTCTCCCAATGATCCCCTAGATCCGCCCTTGGGCTCTAGGAGAGTTTGTTAGGATGGGAGTCTTGGAGGCCGGACGACGGAGGGGGGGGGGGGCGTGGCTCCGCTGCGTCAACGGAAGTAAGGAGTCGTAGCGCACTTCCGGCGATCGCAGCAAATCAGCTCTCCGCCCAAGTCAAAGCAACCAACACCGGAGCAAGCACAGAGAGCGTGAAACGCCGTACAACATCATTTGACATAATGATAGCTGGTCCCGTGACAACGTTCCGCACATTGTGAGGCATCTCATTTCTAATTTCCAAAGCGCACAGAAATTGGAAAAAAAACTGTGCAGCCTCTCGTCATGTGAGATGTGTGGATGGTTTCGTTAGACTCTCAGGAACTCGGGGAAAATACAACAACAATCAAATAGGTTCGATTTTAACCGACAAATATAAATGTTTGGTTGTATTATTCTGCTTATTTCAAACTGTGTGTCGTAACTAAATTCTCATACTCATTCTTACTCTTCTTTATTATTCATTGACGAAACAAATCAAATCAATTCTAATTACAATTAACACAGCATACTGGATACTCGAATTCAGATGAAATTTAATTAGCTGGCATTTCACCATCCAAATTTTGAAGTACTATGGCATATGAGAAGTAGGGTTTTCGAGACCTTTAGCATCAGGCCTTCACCTGACCTCCGTGCTTTCCACGTGGCAGCGCTAGGATCGCTACACCACGAGCCTCAACCGCTCGCAAGAATTCGTTGCGCGTTCGTTTCTTCGTCAAAGGGCGAAGATCACTCGTATCCACTTGGTCCTTTCTACTTAGAACTGTATAATGGCGCGCGGTCTTAAAATCCGAACCAATTCTGGATAAAGGATCTCGTAAATCAATGTTGTTTTTGAAGAAAACTGAAAAAGTGTCGGGAATACGGTCCACTTTGGGTTTTCGCACTAATTTAGTTACATACTTTTTTGTTTGATGCCGTTATTGTAAAAAAATTATTTGTACTGCAAATGGAATATTAATATATTTTATTTTCAATTCATTTAATTATTTCTTTTCCATTTATTCAATTATTTATTTTATTCAGACCGCTGAAACCCTACTGTAACACTGAAATCATATTCTTCTATATTATAGCAGAATATATAAAGACGATACATATTACTAGTTTATTATACATTTGCAGACTGTAGAATTAGAAACTGCTGTTGATTTGAAAGTGATGGCCGAACACACATCCGAGAATGTACGAACAGAATCAGACCGATGCTGACGCCAGCTAAGGCAGTCCAGGAAAAAATGCTTGTTTTGTTTTCGTCGTTTCTGTAGAGTATGCGGAAAATATAATCACTTCGGTGTGTGCGGGTAGGTTCTGGCTGTAAATTAATTATAAATAATGTAATGAATTATTGCCGCGAGTAAAAGAAAAAGATGTTATGAATATCATTAAAAAAGACCTATGAACAGAGCATCGTCATCGACCTGCAATGAGCGGTCCTGTATCCCACTGAGTGGCATCTATTTCATATCTAATCGATCAATATCTAGTGGAGACGTGCGATTCTCATTCACTTGGCAGTGAGTAAACATGTAAACTTCGTAGCGCTCCGTCTACAAATGTAAAGTGATCGTGTAATACACTGAAATAATTGTTGTGTTATTGAATCATTATTTTGATGACGCACTTAGTGCGCCGTGCGTACGTGTGAGAAAAGAAGGTGAATAAAGAATAATAAATGAAATCTGTTCCTCAAAATTAATCTTTAAATTATGTCATGAACAAGATTTGAAAACACGACTGGTTTCGCGCAGTTTTTGTAATCTTCGTAATTGCAAATTTTAATTCCCTGGACTTGTGTAACGTAGGAGTCTTTCACGAGGTATCCGTTCGTAATCCAATTACAACGCCTTGTCATGGCAATTTGCAATACTCAGAATTCCTTCTCATTGTTGGTCGAAGTTTCGGCAGTTTTGGATTGTCGAATTTGTTGTAATATATCAGTTTAAGACTATTTCACTCGTGAAATGAAAACCAATAATGTTTAACAATAGATACAAAATGCCCCAATCAGGGCGTTGAATCTTAAAAACTTTATCGCTTTTTCTATCCGCTTCTCTTAGCTCTTCTCCCTGCTGACCAATCATTAACTGTTACTAATGAATCTGAGGAGGCGGTATACATCGATAGCTACGTCAATGTCCAATACACGGCGTATGTACTATAACATAACCTCGTTTATTTTAAGATAGTTTTCAGTTATTTTCAATATTTGGCGCATTTTGGAACTCTGTTTGACCTAATTTCACTCGTAGAATAGTCCTATTAAATATCACTCATACTTAGGAAATTCTCAGATAAATCCCCTCCTCGCTTCGCGAGTCGGAATTTTATCAACAATTTCCAAAGCACCCGTGATATTTTCATTACCTACGAAAATCTACCTATTTGCAGTTTTTATCACACGATATTTTCATACCAATTCTAGCCAAAAACGTTCCTTCCTACCAGTATTTACAATTCAACTTATATTTACTGTGCTAGTTAGGTTTAGAGATTATTCATATCTAATAATTATAATAACGATTATAAGAGTATTGTATAGGGGTGGATTTAGAGACGATTTTTAGGAGGGAAAATTCAAAATGTTTTGGTCGTAGGCATCATATCACAGTAGTAAAAGTAATGTTGATGAAAGTAGGTTACTTTCGCTTATGCTGCAAAACGATTTTATTCGTTTTTAATGATTATCCTATAATATTTTTACTTGAAAGTTTCGTGAGTAGTTTAAATGAATAGATACTGAAAAATTTTAAGAGGGGAAATTTCCAGCATTTCCTTCCCCGCGGATTCGCGCCTGTTTTATAGGAATAGTTAAAATAATGGTTGTAGTTAATAATAATAATAATTATTATTATTATTATTATTATTATTATTGTTGTTGTTGTTGTTGTTGTTGTGGTTGTTGTTATACGATCATAATGAAATAAAGGTATTATGTGACCCTTTTACCATAATCCATTGAAGTTCCATGTCCGAAGTTCATCTTCGTCGTGTCCATCCCGCAGAGTTCATAACCCCTCGCGGTCTGTCTTGAGTAGCTCCACCGTGCGCTTGTGCACCGTGCGCTAAGAAGGAGGTGTAATCTCCGTGGCTGACGTACGCGGGCAATGGCGGGAAACTGGCGGCGCGTGTGGTCACGGAGACAGACAGTCGGAGTACAGCGGGCCAACGAGCAGCAAGCAAGTGGAGCGACCAAGCAAACAGCAAATAGAAGAAGGGAATCTACACCATGCACAAGAAGAAAGAGCGCAACTGTGTCGACCTCACCGCTAACCACGAACTCGTCTTCAGGTGAGGTGCTCGCAAGGGGCAGCCTTCGCCCTCTCAAATGAACTTTGGAATTGTCGACTTGGCTTGCCCGTAATATTCAAGGGGGTCTTTGACAGAGTTTTCATCTAACATATTGACAATTCTTGCCAGGTTTTTCGTCAGGAATCCATCAAAATCTTATTTCAATTTAAATTACCAATATCATGCAACGTACGAGTAGTTTGCCTATACTGCCTTGGTTACAAATAACTGTTGGAAAATGCGTGTTGACTCGGTGTGTGTGGTTAGTTCATTTCCTGCGGACAAGTGCTATCGTGAAAATCAACTAAACAATTTAGATGGATTTTCAATGAAAATTTTAAAGTCCTCAAACTTTAGTAATAGTTAGGGGTTATTGATACCAGACATCTTTATTTATCATAATAGTTACAGCATTAGTAATTGTTTAACATATTGAATGCGTATACATATACGTGACTATTACGTTTACGTATTATCGAATCAGAAGCATTTATTCCACATATGACGAGGATACGGCACGTGGAGAAAACTTCATTACGCCAATAACATTTGCACTCTTTAATTTTTAACCCGAAATAACCGTTATATTTTGAGGAGTGTGCGGAGCGAGGGTGAGGAGAGAGAAGTATGCTTTGCTTCTGGAATCAAATCGTGAGTTGCAACACCCAAGGATGAAGGAAATATGACTAAAATGTTATCTGAGCTAGAGGTATCAATCAGGCGTACTTGTTTATGCACTGTTTTTAGGAAAGTCATTGTATGGTATTAAATCGTATACAATTTTACAAATATATTTCCTGGATTTACCATAATTAAAAAATCTTAAAATATTACAGGTTCATTTTTTCTTGCAGAAAACGTTAAGCAACAGAAAAGTTTAATTTTGAAATTTGTGAAGTGAATTCACGTAAGTTTCTTGCCTGAAGTGTTGGAATTGATGGCGAAACGGAGATATTATAATAATTTCTATGCCTTGTGTCTGATATTTCGTAATGTCTGAATTTCTTGGAACAATATGCCCTTTATAACCGTTATTCTTTCTCTTTAGAACTGTATGCATTAATAATGTCTGTGGCTACATAAACCCGATTGGCCAGTTGGAGTGCTTGCGGGCGAGATGACCTTGCGCGTCAGATATTTTTAGCATTTAATTCAGTCTGGATTTCTCCTTCCTACGTCCTGCGCTGTAAACCAAGCCTTTTAACTGTTATTTATTTATATTACTACCCGAAATTGAGTGAATATGGAACTGCTTATAATCACAACAAGTAACATAACTAGTACTTGATACCGAAGCGTGAGCGCAGCAAATCAGACATTTTTTGCACTTTTCAAGGTTTTATTTTACAAAATCCGTGGTCGTAAATTTCGTGATGGTAACAGAGATCTTGTGGTAATCCATAATGTGAGAAAGGAAGTAATCGTCCACAATAAAATTTATAATTATTTTATGAATTATCACATTCCCAGAGTAAACTTTAGAGAAAACACATTTTCCATCTTCAGTGGTTCTCTAGCAAGAAGAAGGAAAGTTGAAATATTAACATGAAGGAAGCGAAAAGAAATACAGTAAAATTATGTGAAAAAAATACAAATAAATAAATTAAATAAATAAATAAAAATACTTACTTCCAAGCAACGTGGATCACTTTCAAACTACATGGTCGGATAAATACATAAAACTGACAAACGTGCTGGGTACTGCCATATGGTAGCCATTTTATTTAACGTTCAGCACCAAACTGAAAGTACGTTAGAAAGTCGAATGCTATTTTGAGCTAATGCTAATTAATTTTCCAATAACACTAATAATAATAATAATAATAATAATAATAATAATAATAATAATAATAATAATAATAATATCAAAATATTGAAGTCTTCTCTTGGCAATGTATTTGATGCTACGCGGAGATACAGTCGGAGGTCAAGAGGCAGAAATCATAAAGAAATAGTACATCGATTAATTCGTCCATAATTTATTAATTAGCTGTTGCAGAGAAAATTATTTCATGTAGTGATTATTTTATAAATTAGTTCATAATTAGGAAGTACATCTTTTAGAAATATATGTAAGATACATGGTGTCGGATCCGGGGGAGAAAGGGACATCGCCCCCCCCCCCCAAAAGGCCTAGAGTTTTCCTCTGTAACATTCTTTTACTTGGCAAAATTGATTTAAATATTTATGTTAGTATTTTGTAATTATTTAAAACTATTGTATAGTATCATATACACTACAAAAATAATTTAAATTTAGTAACAAATACTTTTATTATTTAACAAAAATCGATTATCCCCCGCCACAAATGATAAGCTGGATCCGCCCCGAACGTACAAAATGGATTCGTTAACACTTCACAGAAAGTCGTCGATGCCCGGGCATTTTGTAACAACGTGACGCATGGGCAGAGTCGTTGCCTTCCGATCATTCCTCGAAAAGACGACGTTCGTTGAATCGTAAGCTAGAAAGTACCTAGTGGTGCTACAGAATGGGACAGACATTCCCGTATGGCTTCTACTTCCTTTGGTCTCTGCTAGCTATACCAACTTGCACATACAAGTTCTGTGCCAGCTGCCATCTACCGCCACCCAAAAACTTTTTTTTTCGTCTTAATTTTTCGGATTCCAGTAGTATAATGGAAATATTATATAATGGTTATCAGAAAAAACTCTTCCTAAATGCCAATTTTTTTTCATAATATTGGTAATTTGCATATAGTATTTGTGAATTATATTGACGGAAATTTTTGTTTTGTATAAAAAAACAACCAACAATCCAATTAATAAAAAAACAATTTATTTGTGAGGCTGTAGAGTTTTTTTGCACCTTTCGAGAGCACCTTTAGTACTATCGAAATATAAACTAGTTTAACTCAACGCAAACTCGTAAGGGAAAGTACCGTGATCATTAATAGGTGTCTGTAAATAGATTTACTCTTAGCTCAAACCAAGGCAGTAGGTAGAACTTCATTTCTCTCAACGCATTTTCTCTAAGTTAATCTCAGCAAGTCATACATTAAATGGGATGAACAATTGTAGTACTTTGTTACTGGTGAACTTTCATTTCTTGTTATTTGTTTACAAAATATATTAAGTGATAATCGTTTTCGATATAATTGTCGCAAAGGATATTATTACAATCAAATTAGAAATTTTCCAAACCAGGCCGGCGGAGTCTGGTAATAAAATCGAGTATTTCAATGAGACGTTACTATAAGTATAATGTAAGATGTTTTATCCAATGTGTGAAAATTAGTTTTAAGCTGAAATTTCGTGGCAAGTGATCATTGAGTGTGGAAGTGGCGACACGGTTCTCAATGAGGAGAATAGTTGAAATACAGTTACTATATTACTTTCCGAATGAGAAACAGCTGGGATTCAGATGTCGGAGTACCAAATGCTGCATTATAAATATTTTTTTAATCCAGAAAACTGTGAGTGTAGTACGAGTTATTTAAAGACTCGTGTGTAAGAAATCAATTTCATTTCGTAAAAAATATTGCACCCCCAGTGGAAGACTCCCACTAGTCGAAATGAGCAGTTTTCCAGGAGAAGCCTGTAAATATTCTGAGACAATAGAAAATATAATAATTATTATTTTAGGAAAGTGAAAATAATGTATATTAATCTTGTAACATTCTTCAATAATACCATAAATTACAAATACCTGGGGTTGACTATGTATACGTGTTTTTACTTTCGCGTATACGTACGTATATATACGGATATACGGAGTAATGTACGTAGTGTAGGGAAAGTTAGGTAAAGTTGCGGAAAATCAATTTCGTGATTTCGACGGAAATACACGTTTTGGGGTCCCTGATAATAAACGTTTTTGGGTCTCTGATAGCGAAAAAGTTGTTTTCATTCAAAACCTCTGTGCGTCTGAATTTGAAATTTCATAATTTCACAAAATTTCGTGCGTTTTTCTACAGCAACAATATTGAATTTTTTTTTCAAATAAAATTTCTTCTCCATAGTGAGTTCTTTCATTAAGGCCATGTAGAATCTTTGAAAATTTTAGTAGTTTTCGCACATTATTGTGTGTTATTGTGTTATTACATGCATTCTGTGCAATTTTAAAAAATTACAAATACAATATTTTCTCATAGTTCTAATTTTTTTAAATTTTTGGTAGCGATAGTGCTAAATGTATTATAAGATGACATAAATGAAATATTGCTCTTTTCTTTGGTTTTTGCAAAATTTACAAAATGTAATTTTTTGACTTGCCTCTCATGTCGTTAATATTTATATCAGTGGCAATTTGTTCACATTATTGTATTTATGAGTACATGTGCTTTAAATAATGTCATATAAAGTTTCTCGAAAATCAACCTTTTTTTGTGAAAACTAGCTCAGAACTCCGCTCAATCGCCATATTCTCAAAAACCGCTCCAAATTTTTTCTTCAAACATCTCGATCGGATAGTGATAATTGCACTCTTTAATATGACGTAAAGTTAATTTCTGTGTATGGTTCGTTTTTTCGAAAGTCACACAAATGCAGATTTTTTTTTAATATTTCACTTTGGTATGTTTGGTTGTCAAGTCTTTGATATGTTCATTTCCGTCAATTTGTAAGCACTATTGTATTTGTGAGTTAAAGTACTTAAAATGACTTCAAATTAATTGTTTCGAAAACTCAAATGTTTTCTGTGAAAAAGAGCTTCAAATTTCGAATCTTCAAAATTACTGGTTTCTTAAAAATTCCAAATGTTCCAAAGAAAATTGCCATTTAGGACGACATTTTACTGTTATTTAATAATCTTAAAATAATATTTCCTCTCTACAAATAGGAAACCGAGAAATTAAGAAAATGTCAAAAAAATAATTTGGGCAGCGATAAATGGCAGCAGGCAAGAATATGTAGCAAGTTCGAATAGTGAGCGGAGACCAAAGGAAATAGAAAACTAAAATGGAAGGTCTGTGCCATTCTGTAGCACCACTATTTTAATTTAAAAATAATTGTTTTGGGTTATTGCAGTTTTTTAGACAG